ATGTAAATTCATGCTTGATTATGTAACGGCAAATGCAACTTAAAAGCAAATTTTCTTCTTTCATTACCTAAGTTCGCCTATAATTTAAATAATCGCATTGGCAAGTATGGCTCATAGGCATTGTCGAACAATAATAGCTCTGAACTCTATCTACCCTGTTCAAATATAGGTTGATTTTCGAATTTTGATAATAATAATAATAAATGAATATCATATTTATAATTTGATGTACAAGAATTTAATAATGTGTAAGATATACTCAGAAATTTCTTTATCTACATGAACAAAGAAAGCGTTAAGTGGAAATCCATACAGATAGCTCCGTAGAATTCAAATGATCCGAATTCCGAAGTCGCTCGCATGCCAGTTGCCACACGATTACGTGATGCATCATCAACTCTATTATCCTCGCGTTAATATGCGTTTGCTGTCGACCGCATTGCTAGCCGCAGACGCAGAAATGGGTTTGTAATGCGCGACAAGGCGCGCTGGTGATGCCCTATTCAGATCATTGATTATAGTATAACTATGCAGAAGCACCCAAGTCTTCAAATATGATAGGCTGGGCAGAGTACTGAGTAGTTAGACGACTCCGTGGCGCAGTCGCCAATGTATTGGCTTCAGAAGGGGTCGTGAGTTCGATCCCCACACGGGACAACTATTTGTGTGAGTTGTTTCGTTTCGCTTTTGTGTGTTTGTTCGTGAAATTTATTTTTGTAAAACGTCCTTACAATACATGATAATGTTCAGGTGAGGTAAGGGTAACGCTTTTAAAAAAAACAAGAAGTAATAACTCCACTGTAGCGCGATTATACCTCACTAAAACTTGATTAATAGAGATTATCACCGTAAATCGCGCTCAAACCGACGTATAACCAATATTATTCCTATATGTATATACAGTTTATTTGATCAAAGTTTATTTTGTTCAATGCAATCATATTCGTTAATATTTCGAACACCTAAACATCCCCCTTGAGAAGGCAGATTAATATAAAATCAGTAGAATTTTCAGCAATATAACATTGACTTTAAACCAGTAATATTTAGGAAGTGGTTGGAAATAGCACTACACATAAATATTAATTAATCTGTTTAACAAAAACCATATCCAAATAACAAATATCATACCATGTAATTCTCTGTGTAAAATACTGTTTAATTTGCGGATATATTAATGTTAGCCACATCGTTATTTCGATACAATTGCATAAGATGGTAGAGCGAGAAACAAGCATGAGTTGTTTTTAAAGCGGTACTACACAAGAATGGTACAAAGCTGTTATGTTCATCTCCATCGTGTTTTTCTTAGATTTATTGCTGTGTAGCATGCAATATTAAATAACCAACAAACAATATGTCGTTTTATACGTATATATGTATGTAAATATCTATATCGTTACGTCTCGTTTTTAGAGTTCCGTACCCAAAGGGTAAAACGGGACTCTATTAATAAGACTCCGCTGTCTGTCTGTCTGTCCGTCTGTCACCAGACTGTATCTCATGAACTGTGTTAGTTAGACTGTTGCAATTTTCACAGATGATGTATTTCTGTTGCCTGTTTAATAAAAGCGTGGGGCTCCCATACAACAGAAATATTTTCTCCCATACAACACAAATATTTTTGCCATTTTTATAAATATTGGTAGAGAACCCTTCGTGTGCGAGTCTGACTCACACTTGGCCGTTTTTTTTAAACGTTGCCCTTACTATAGGATAAAATTATCGTGCTTGTAAGGATTTATTAAAGTAACAAAAGTGACAGGTATCTGATTTTCTTAAAACTAATGTTTAGTTAAATGAACCGTAATATATAACGATTCGTTAGATAAGTACACGAATTTAACACATTTATTCCTCTGAAATAAAAGGCCGTTTTTGTACGCATTGTATGTAAACGTAGGCAACGGTCTATATATGTTTTTAGTTTAGCTTGAGAGTTGAGACTTACTTCTGATAATGCCATAAGCCATGGAGATTACAGCAACAAAGTGAAGACATCCACAAGTTCATCGTAAATTAGCGTTAAGATTGAAATTAACTTAACATTTAACTTGACACGAGATAATGAACCGGATTTTGTGTAAGCGAATAACAATACATCCGACATTAGCTTTGCCAACCCGATTAATAATGTAAACGTAATTACGTCACTTCGCGTGAGGTAGCGTGTTGCTTATCTCGAAAAAGTCACAAAGTGAATGTGAAAGCCGAATGCATTAGTCCGTTAGGCTTTTAAAGAGTGAGGTATAATTTTAAGTTACGACGATTGTAGTCCATATAAATGTTTATACATTATTTCAATGGTAACAGAATGAACTTTCCAAATTGTTACAACATATAATCGTCATTTCATTTTTATATGTTATCCAAGTATTTTTTATTTCGATGTTACTTAAAATTTAATAACCGTTTCAAATTAAGATTTAGACTAAGATTCCGTTGTAAAGGTTTTTTCGGAACGGGATTTGTTAGAACATTAAAAGTTTTGAATGGAAGTTATGAAAGCTGCAAATTAAGTTTAGTAGCTAACCATTTAATGCACGGCCAGGTAACATATCAAATTATTAGATGTCATTAGTTTATTATTAGTAATAGATGAATAAACATGAAGTTGCCAGATACAGGTCACGTTTAGTTATAAATACAACGGTCAAATAAACATGTCAATTGTAGTTTTGCAGACGTGAGACTTGCTTAAACAATAAAGATTGTTAAATAAAGCTTTATAGACAGACGTCACGGAAACGACTCACGGAACAGGCTAAATGGTCTGCGACGTAATCACACACGATAAAATCTGTAAAATAGTTGTAGTATTATTTTATTTTTCTTTTTTTTAAACATTGCCCTTACTTTAAGTTAACATCATCCTGTGTGTTTGTCACACGGACAAACACCCAGATGCGAAACAACTATCCGTGGGTCGCACAAATAGTTCAAAAAAATCAAACCCAGGACCCCCGACGCCGAATATATAGCTTTACAATAAACGATATTTTAAGCCATTTTTTTGGTTAGATATATTCCTTTTTGTCTAGCTAGTATATAGTAGTATAATATATATGTATCAGTTCATTGTCTGTAGTGTTCTCATAATTAAACCGCCGAAATTTTGGTCTCTTCAAAGAAGTTTACAATGGAAGTTTCAATACGTCCCACTGTAAACTAATTAGTTGGAACAACACGAGGTACTGTTGAATATAATAGTATACGGCAATTAACAATTATTATTTCGGAGCCAAAACGACTGAAGGTTTTATTGTTACCGAAATTGTATTCACTTCTAACCGCAAAGGATGTATAAAAGTCTTAAGAAGAAAGGAAAAAACACCTGAATACCTTTGCCGATCGCGTGACTGTTCTGAAGTGGAGGGGAAAGACTCTTGTATAGCGCGATGTAGGGCTTAGCAGCCTTTTGTCCAAGTGCCACTAGGGTGAGGAGTTGCGGGCAGGGTAATGAGCCCGTTTAGCAGGGGTTCCACTTTAGTTGGCAAACGCGGCTAGTTTGTTTCGATTCTCGTCATATTAAGATTAAGTGTGGTGAAAATATTTGATGCTAATGAACGTATTAATAAATAAAAGAATTATTTATGTTTTCTTGTCTTGAAACTGCAAGAAAATTACTTGAACCGCATATGAGCTAAAACAAATTAAATATAAGATATAGATAAGATACTAAGAGTAGAGATTGCTCTTTGTTGGTTTTAAGGTTGTCTTCAATTGTATTTATGAAGCATATTTCGAAATAATGTTATCCATGTTTACTACATCAACAAATTTTACTTACAAATTACGAAAATTTTAATCAAAAGTTAAGACAGGTAAAGGTTCTATTCAACTGGTTCGGAAATTTAAATATTTCTCTATTATAGAAAAAATTATTAAATGTCTCCTTTGGTTCCAATTCGTTTGAAAGTATTTTAGGCTTGTACATTAAAAAAATAGTCCGTATGTTTGTGTCCACAAAACTCAAAAACTAGCCTTAAAATTTAGCTATGTAATGTTTTTGATTTGGGATAAACGGCTTGCTTTACAGTTGGTTAGCGTTTGAGTTTGAGTATTAACATGATTTTATTACGAACATGTCAACGTGTAGTCGTGTCGCTTGACCTTCAAAACATAATTACGCTTGATTTTCCTTGTTGTTATGCATTGTATTAATACCACGGCATCTTGTAATATCCTTTCTAATTAAGTGCCACTTATTTATTATATCTTTATTGGGTATGCGTTTATTATCAGGTTGAAGAATCGTAGACTATTTGATTTCGAGATGTTAATTGGTGCATGGTAACATTTATCACTAGGGGTTCGCAAAATTCTTTTTCGCGCCTTCTGTATCATTTCTTTTAGAATAGTTTAAAGTGAGCTCGCCTCAGTTTCGTATAAATATTGACTAATTATTATATATATAGTATTTAAAATATCCTATAATATATATTTTTGTACATATCTATTGTATGTTCTGCGCCTGCCTCTGGTGATGCTGTGGCGAAATATTTAAGGCGAGTAGGCTACCAAAGTATGTCTAAACTTAAGAATTTCAAGGTTTGCCACGCCAGAGACAGACGATTCTCAAAGCTCACCAGTACTTTTATTTAATTAATTGGCATCTTTATCAGCATATTGGATCAGGTCTAACTGCTATCCACCAAACATAACTAGTTTGTAAATTAGTATTCTTAATTGCTGATAAATTTCTTAGGCCTTTCGATCCTATCGGAATATGGTCTTCTTTAAAATCATTTCGCTCGTATGCTCCCTTCTCAAGTAAAGATGAAATTTCACATATGGGTTGGTTTGGAGCCGAATTAAGAAATAAGTTAAATTTTGTTTAAAAAAAAATACAAATATTTGTTTCCAAAAAAAAAAAACACAAGCGAAACTATGGGTTAAGGGACTATATAACGGGTATGTGTTAATGATGTATGTTAATTATAGACTACCGAGCGTGACTCGTGGAGAAGAATTCTTCGTTCTATAGTTCTTTATCTTACCTCTTTAATCCTCTGCAAGAGCGGCTCCAGCCAGTGGACGTTGCACTCTACGTGCGAGTCGAGGAAGGTCAGAACTGGCGCAGTGGCGGCATCAGCGCCCCGTACCCTGGACCTCATCAGACCTTCGCGCTTGCTGTTCCGGATGACGCGCACCTTTCGGATCGCTCGCAGGGCGGCACCGTCCTCGGCTGTTTGAGCACCGAGTTTTAATTTAAATAAAAAAAAATTAGTTAAAATATGTAGAAAATTAAAATATGTAGAAAAAGTGCGAAAAGACTGCCGCCGCTGTGGGAATCGAACCCACGTCTTCGGCATTCGCGGCCTGACGCTCTAGCCACTGAGCTAAACGGCTGATTGCCACACCGACGAAAATCTTAACGCATTCTTCTCTTCTTATTCTTATCCCTTAGTTTCTTAAGTTTTAAACATTATAGAACAGAACTTTTCATTCCGGTAGGATAGTTGGATTTATCAAATAGTATTTCAATTTTGTCTCACGCCACGGTATGACTTCGTTTTGTCTCCTTACAATTAAATTCATGGATGTTAGGCATATAGCACAATTATATTCTTACCATTTTTATTAAAATATTAACCCACTTCAAAAGTAAAAGCGGGGAAAAAAATGCTTTATATGGGAAATTAAAATATTAAAAGTACAGTTTTGCATTAGACAGAAAAAAAGGACTAAACGTAGAGTAAATAATAATAGTCCATACTCGTTTTTGTCAGAGATTATTAAACTTGTATCATAAGGTTGTCATTCCACAGTTAAGTAATTCAGATTTATTCACCCCATTATTTTAATGTTTATTATTGTATAAAAGTAAAGTAAATAGAGTAGTAGTAGTAGCCTATAAATGTCCCACTGCTGGGCATAGGCCTTCTCTGTAAAGAGGGTATCAGGACCATAGTCCACCACGCGACCCCACTGCGGATTGGCTCGGATATTATTGTATACTGTCATTAAAATTTAAGAAGCCAATTCATTATCGGGGACAATAACGTGTTTATATATAAAAAAAAAAACAGTGGCTTCGAGTCGCTCTAATTAAAGATAACTATATTCTTAGCCGGTATATACAGAAGTACCTATACATAATTTCTCTCTACAAGGATCATGTTAGACGATAGTATACATAACAGGGTACTCGATACGACATTATTTATACATATTCTCAGGCACAAGGCGAACATTAAACGCTTGTCTTTCAATACTCCTCCAATTCGTCAATTAGCCACGTGTAGCTAAATGAAATCTTGCCATTGTTCCAAGAACAATGCTTGAAATTTAACAAGCGTGTAACGCTACGCTTTTTCATAACCGGTTATTTATAATTACATAGCGCATTAACAAAGAGCTTTTGCCGTTAGAAAGTATATCAGATGATATCGTTGAAATTTAAATGCTTTGCATTTGTTGGGTGATGTTTTAATATTAATTTCGGTCTTAACATTAAGGGCTGAGCGTCATCGGCTTTGTTTTTATGGGTTTTAATGTTACCTTAAATTAGTCGTCAGCTTTGATGCCGGTTCAAAGGATTGACAAAATAATAAAGCAAAAGTTTACCTACTAAATGTCCTGATAATTTGAAACCTGAATATTTTAGAAATATTTACAACAAAAATATTTCGAAGATACTAATACCCTATGTAAAGAAGAGATCTTTACCCAGTAGTGGTGCATATGGGCTGTTACTTTACTTTTTTTTACTGTTAACAAATAAAACGCAACTTATTGCTATAAACGAAAGCAGTGAGGTACTCACGATTGTCACTAAAGTCATCAACGAGTATAATTTCCTTGATCAGATGCTCCGGGCTTCGGTTAAGGACACTGAAACAAAGACTGGAGTTCACATCTGGGTAGTTGAAATGCTAAACGTAAATGAACTGTTGATTTCTTGTTCTTACGCGAATATTATACATATTAAATGACACAATTTTACTGGATTTATCGCGTTTTAATTTTGATTTTTAATTCACGACATTCATTCGACATTCGGTCACGGGACAAACTGAACGCTGGAAAGGGTCTGAAACGTCGGGAATTCAAAATAAGATTAAATTCGTAAAACAGTGTAATTTCATATGTAAATGACTAGGTGAATTTAAATGACTGTCCAAAATAAATATGATCATTATAATGATTTGAAATACACAATGCACACTAAATACTTTCCGGTGATATTTATATCGTTTATCAATTCTCAATACATGCATACATGATTAAAAATACTGGCATCCATTATTACAGAATTTTCACATAGGTGATAATACCAAACGAGATAGTGATATTTTGAGAGTGATTTTGTACGATACATATATGATTAAATGATGATACTGGCATCCATTATTACAGAATTTTCACATAGGCGACAATACCAAACGAGATAGTGATATTTTGACAGTGATTTTTGTACGCCGTCAAGGATTAGAAGCAACTCAATCTAGTCCAGATTAGTAAAGTCGTGTTACCTGACAATCGTCCTCAGAAGCGTCGAACGCGCTTCGTTATGAAACGTTATGATGACGCTGGTCTCTGGAAGGTCATCCTCGTATTTCTTCAAACGGCACCTGAAATACATCGATAATTGAACCTGGATTCCTATAATAAGCAATCATCATGCATCCCTCTATTTAAGGGACAACTTTTTAGAAATATAGCCTCAGCCAAACTGTATATTGCCCAAGTTAAAAAGGGGTACAAACAAGGCGATCTGTCTCGAAACTACTGTCCCCTTTGATGCAGTATGATCTTAGATTAATTATTGTATTACATGTGATGTATTCTTGTATGGATGACTCAGCGGCGCCGTTGCTAAGCTATTTGCTTCGGCGTCGGGGGTCGTGGGTTCGATTACCACACGGGACAAGTATTTGTGTGAGTTAATTGTTCCGGATCTGGGTGTTTGTTTCCCCAGGAGGGTCGACGTCAAACAGGCGGCCGGTGTTAAAAAACAGAGCCAAAACCGCTTACCGCTGTTATGCTGACACCTCCTAGGTGGAATAAGGGTAGGAGGATGATGATGTGATGTAATCTTGTATTAACTCTAATGTTTCCTTTTAATTATTTCAGCATAGTTTTATGTTTCATGTTATCCAATACCGTTACCACAATTAGTTATACGTCAATATTTTTGTAAGTCTTGTTAAAACGTAGGTTATTTGGGAGAAACTGAAAACAAGAATTTCCTTATTTCACTTGTGTCGTTCAGATTTATAGTGATATTGGAGTAACCAACGAGACAAGAATGATTAATGACAAAAAGGCTTTTACACGCTTTTCTGTCCTAAATTATGTTAAGAATAAAAACTAAAGACTTGTTTTTCCAGTCAAGTATAATTGATGAAAACGCATAAAAGGATAAGTATCCCGTAAACCATATTATATCATTGCATATTAATACTAATACTAATATAATTAATATAAATATAATAATATATTACATTAAAACTTATTAAAACTCGTATATTACATACTAAAAGTTACATAACATGTTTAATGTATTCTTAATTTATTTGAACTTCGATATTTAAAACCAAGAAAACTTGTTTTGTGATTTACGATAAAATGGGAGATAATAAAAAAAGAGTTAAGTTCAGTTTTGTTTGTCATTTGATATGCTTATTTTGATCTGTTTGTTTTATGATCATTCATGGTTCTATATCCTTTTTTATTTTTTATGTGTTCTATTGTAACTATTCTGTGGCTAAAATGACGAACAGTATACTACTTATTTAATTAGTTTGTCCTAATTATTGTTACTATAATTTTAAATCATGCTTCTAAAGTGCGGCCTCAATCGCAGAACGTTAAAGTGGTTCCGTACGGGACGCTAATCGAATTTATAACATATTCTTTAAATAATTATACATTTTATATGAAAAGTTGGCAAGAGAGCATCCTTTTCCGCCGTATCAACAGCACTTGAGACCTTTCAAGGGTTGCCAATCTTCTAGAACAGTAGGCCCAGGTTCCCAGACTCACCAAAAGTATCCACATCTACTTCATACAGGTTTGTGCGGCCATGGTATTTCATCGGACGAGTCTGCCCATTCGTGCAACAGTGGAAGCTATTGCTTGGCCCTACCACAGTATTTTTATTGATATAATATGTGAGATTATTCATTAACATGCCATCATCTTTCTAGCTTTTTTTTTAAACATTGCCTTTACTTTTGGATAGCATTATCCTATGTTGAAGGGACGTTTTACAAACACAAATTTCACGCGGACAAACACCCAGATGCGAAACAACTATCTGTGGGTCACACAAATAGTTGTCCCGTGTGGGAAACGAACCCACGACCCCCGACGCCGAAGCCAATACCTTGGCAACTGCACCACGGAGTCATCAATTTTTGAGTTCGACTGTTTTTTTTTTAGACTGCCACGAAGCAGGCTCCTGAGACACCTGCATCCATCGATTGTAAGATTATTAATATAGTATAAAATTCATACGCTAAAAAGACTCCACTGTTTTATTGCAATAAAAACCTATATACATCAAACCTATAAAGTTCAACTGGACTCCACCCGTTTTGTGTGGCCGTATCAGATATTTACGTAAAAAATCAAATTTATAGACGTGGATCCATTAAGATTTATTTCACCTGCGCCCAATATAATGTAAGATACCGGTTATATTATAAGAAGCAGCGGCAGTTTGAAATTATATTAAAAAATAATGTCGCGTTGTATTTCTAAAGTTTTTTTAGACTATATGTAGCAAGTATTAAGCCTATATTGAGTATATATATATTGAGCCTATATTGATTTATACCGTGAGAAGAAAGATGACAATTCAGCGCTGTTAAAAAGCAGGATTTTGCTACTTGCGTTAAATATTTACAAATCTTTCCAATCATCTTTAACTTTATGTTACAACTTTTCGCTAGGATTTTAATTAGGAAAATTGCCTGCTAGCGTAATTACAGTACAACAATTATGTATGTAAAACAAATATAACAAAAGACCTTCTTATAATATAAAAATATCTCTAAATTACCACCTTTATAACGACTAAAGTCTCCTTACAATTCATTCTTTCTTGAATTTGTCATCAATAATAATTTTTATTAGAAAAAATGTACAGTTAAACAACCTCAGCAAATATAATATACAAGTTTTATCTTATCCTTTAAACGAGCAATTCTTGTACATATATATAATCGGAATCTCGGAAACGGCTCCAGCGATTTTCATGAAATTTATTATGTGCGTAGATTCGTGGGCGAAAAATCGATCTAGCTAGGTTTCATTTTTAGAAAATATCCTTTTATCCCTGTTTTCAGGGAATGAAAAATATCCTTCGAATATGACGGTAAATTTCGCCGCAAAATCATTTATGCACTTTTTTTTACTTTTTTTTTCGATTCCAGATCATTACTTTCTTTATTTTTTTGTTGATCCAGATGATTTTGCTATTTTTTCCCTTTTTTTAAAGTTGTTTCTTTGGTAAGAAACACCACTTCATATTTTCTTATTATTAGGTCGGCAAGATCGAAAAATATTATGCATATTTCAGTACTCAGTAATTTGTATCTAAATGTAATTTCCAAAATACACGATTTACAAAAAAAAAACCCTCCTCCTCCTCCAGGTACTAACCTATAATACACAATAGTAAAAAAGTAAAGTAAAGTAACAGCCTATACATGTCCCACTGCTGGGCAAAGGCCTCCTCTGTACAGAGGGTATCAGGGCATAGTCCACCACGCGGCCCCACTGCGGATTGGCGGACTTCACATATCTTCGAAAAAATATTTTTTTTTTGTTATTATTTCGAAAATATGCAGGTTTCCTCACGATGTTTTCCTTCACCGCGGAGCACGTGATAAGTCAGCACTTAAAGTTAAAAACTTCATTAGTGCCGGCACCGGGGATCGAACTCAGGTTGCTCGAGTATATTGAATTAAGGCGAGCGCCCGGACACTGAGCTATCACGGCTCTTACACACAATAGTATCAGAGCATAAACGTATATTTTTCGTCTTGGGCTCTCAAAATAAAAGAGGAACAAAACAAATTAAAGTCAAAAAATTAGATTTTTCATTTAATGCTGGGATGCGAAGTAAAATTAGTTTTCCCCGAGCAAAGTTTACACTAGGCTGAGTCCTCAAAGCTTTTTTGACATTTAAGCGGGCCGTTTTTGACTTATACTTCTGTGGATAAAAAGTTCGACATACTTTTTGGAATAAACCGACGAGATCCAAGTATATATGGGTTAAGGTTTCATCATCATCATCATCATCAGCCGCAAGACGTCCACTGTTGAACATAGGCCTCCCCCTTAGAACGCCAATTTATGTATGTGAAAAATCCATACAGGACAGTTTAACATTTTTATTACAAACGTTTTATTCAAAATAAAAATAAATTAATTTATAAATGGTGGTTACGAGCTATAAAAAGGATTTAGGTGATTAATAAAACTTTGTTACAAAGAAACGAAGAATATCATTCTACGCATACCATAATTATTTAGTTATGTTACACACAGTTTAAATATGTAAAATTTTTTGATTCACATTTATCATCATCTTATCTTTGTCATCGGAAGGATGCCGTTAATTATATCTCCTTATTTAAATACCAGCACTTCCCTTATACTGTTTCTTTTGTGCATGTGTATAGATTTTAGGTGTATTTTGAAAGGTAAATTTTAAACGATGAAGTAAATTGTAAATTGTAAATAAGTAAATTGGTACGTTTGTGCCCTTGCTGGTACAAAATTATGATTATTTCTTCGTCGCTTTGAGAGATCAACGTACTGCCGCGCGAAAGCATTGGTTCGAAATACCAAACACTCTCCGTATGTAATAAACATATCTTTCGCTGTTTTTAGGCTAGGTAACGGGCGCGCGTACAATCTTGAAGGTCACAAACACTGCCTCAGATGAACTGCTGAGTTGTTTCTATTCTGCCATTTTTTGGGTTGTGGACCGGGCACTGTTGGCCTTTAGGTCTTTAGAGATCCACAGGGCAGGCTGGGCGCTAATGGCGTCTAGTTGAACTGTTTTAATGTTCTGCCAATTTGGTGTTAGGACCACGCAGCAGCCTCGGCTGTTGTGCAAATGGGCAGGCTCGTCCGGGTACCTGGTATCAAAGGTACCTGGAGTAAAACTGAGTGAAACACTTGGATACTCCCCCATTTATCATAACGGATAAAGAGCACGATCTCACAGAAGATCGGCGTAAAGTGGAAGTGTAATACTTTCGCGTTTCGTCTGGTGAGTGAGGTGGCCGGAGACCAATTTTCAAAAGGTTGTCAATGCATCTGGAACCCTCGGGTGTAGCTGATGTCCATGGGCGGCGGTGTTCATTTAACGTCAGGTGAACCGTCTGCTCGCTTGGCAACTTTTCACATTAAAAAAGAAACTTACATAGCATTCCTCGTATCGGGGACCGCCCTGTTGCTGGGTAGGTTGTCCGAGGCGGCCTGGTTGAAGCGGTTGCGCACGTACGGGTCGTTGTCCCGCACGCCTCCCGACACGTATCCCCCTTCGTCGAAGTACGCCTTGCCCGTGCTCCCCGCGCCGTACGAGTCCTCGGAGGAAGCTGGGCTGCTCTCTGTCTCTTCGACGTCCGCGTGCTGCTTTATTAGGCGCAGCGCTATGTTCTCCTCCTGCAAGAGAAGTAGTTGTAAGGGATATAGGCAGACAGGTAAGAAAGCCTGCCATAACAGGTAAGAAAGTGGCATACAGTACCCGAAAAAAAAATCAATGTCATGTGAGAACATCGAAATAATGTTATGAACAGAAAATAACACCGTAAGAGATGAGGGTAATTGCGAACTTTGAAAATTGAATTTCATGATATACAATAGTTCCAATATGGGGGGTCAAATCGAATTTAAAGAAACGGCGAAGCAGGTAAATCCTTAACCCACCTTGTGTCCTGATATTCTTAAAGAGATATCTAATGTTTTGATTGCAATTTACATGTGAGTCAAGTCCAACTGCAGAATGTAAAGTTACTTCGCTCTTGAATTTTTATTACTTATTAAAACAAATAACGTTTTTTGCAACCATCCGAATTCCGAACTATTAAACGTTAATGTATACAAGGCTCTCATGTCGTGCATTGCATAAAGTTATTGCTCAAAACGTATTCACGGGTCCCGAACATAAGTTTAACCAAATATATAACACTGCAAAGGGAAAACTTCCCGCTGTGCAACCGTCTGACGTAATAAAAGCTGTACAGCATTTCCAGGAATACCTCCCGTACGAAAGCAACTGGAGCGTGCGCGCAAAATGAAATACGTCAGACGTGTCAGTAACTGTACTCGAGAGGACTCATAGTTTCAGTTTAATTTAGGATTTCGATATTGCAGCCTTTGAGTGGCACAAAACGCAATTTCGATTCGATAACGCTTGAGCGCTGGAGGGGCGTTTGACCGAAAAAATATTTTGAATCGATATTATCTGATGACTAACATTACGTATTTTAATCACTGTGTTAAATTGGTACTTGAAAATATTTTCATTTTAATTCTGTATTAATTTTGGGACTCTTGTCATTTATGACGACTTTGTATACCTTTTAAATCAATTTAAATTAGTTATAGTAAATTGGGTAATCATCTATTTAGGTATGCTTACAATTAAATATTAAATAACACAAAAAATATTTCACAAAATCTTCAAATTATTTGCATTGGAATTGAGAAATATTCTTTTTGATAATTTCTTAATAAAATTATAAATATTATATAATTATAGTGAAACCAAAGAAAACATTAGGTTGTGTTGAAGCCAATAAACCAAGAAAAGGGAAAAATAAATGTTATGATAAGAAAACAAATAAAAAGAAAATCTGAATTAGAAACTATAATTTGTACGCGTCGTTACATCGTGTTAAGGAAAGAAATTTGTGATAACTTTATACACAACGCGCAAGAAACATATTATATAATAACTAAAGATAGAGCAATATAATTTTTGCTAATTATGCATACATTTGACGGTAGAGGAGAACATTATGAGTAAATATTCTGTGACACAAATTTACTTATAGTTATAACCGTTATCTTTGGGGCCATCTTAATAGGAATACCTAATAGAAAGTCCTTTTGTTTCATGGATATCCCAATTGCTAGGTTAACCTACTATAAATATGAGTAGTTATATATTTTGTTGGAGTTATGTTTGTTACATGTTACACATATAAAGGCTTACCTACTATACATATGAGTTATTTAAATGAGCCAAAATTTTCGAAGGAAAGTCAGACTTGCTGAAATACAACACAGGCGAACAAAAAAGATCCGTTTTTATTTGTAATTCAACATTTACCGCAGCGTATAACGGATGCTCTAGGCACATGAAATATTAAGCTCGACCTCGCAACCTTCATGTAAAAGCCTTCCCGGACAAAAAGGATTACCGGGTGGCGTTGCCTGATAAGTAATTCAGGCTGTTTCTGACGTGGGCTTCTCTTAACTCGAAATGCCCGCGTTTAGATGTGCTTGCTTTGATTGAATTCGCTCGCTCCGCCTCTTTAAAAATGAACGAACAGACGAATTGGAAATGCAAAATAACATCGTCCATTTTTCAAGTATTTGAACGGAAAGGCACTGTTAGTTTTGTTAAATGTATTAATAATATGAAAAATACCTAGGAGATTTGTTCTCGCTCGATTGAACAAAATGTATAAAACATAATTATGTTCATAAAAGAGATGATAAACTGAACGACGCTGACCGTTTTCGTTTTGTTTTCTAGCAATTGAAAAGGTAAGAGTGTAACTTCATGTTGGCAAAAATGGTACTTACAACTAGGATCGTGTTGATAGAAAAATATTTTATTATTCCTACACAAACAAAACAAAAAGTTACGAAAGCTACGAACTTTAGAAATACCTCATTGATCTATCCTTATATTTTGTGTGCAGATTCTAAAAACAAAATATATCCTTTCAAAATATTGATCTATCGATGTGATCGTAATGAATTGTTCTTTCGAAAAAATAGACACCTTTTGTTTGAAGATAATTCTTCTTTCGCCCACTTTCATCTTAAATTATTAGAACAGACATTATAGGCGATGACTTTGAAGCAGATCCAATAAGTTTAATTTATAAGTTGTCTAAACTTACAGTAGTCAAAAATTTTGGGATGCGTCATTCAAAATGCTACGCCACTCGGGGCAGCTGATAAAACATTCAGCTATTGTTATGTATTTATTACACCTTATTACCTAATTATTTAAACGTGAACGTGAACATGACCATATTATTACATTAAATAGTAATAGACAATTTAACCATAGAATACATATTTAATCACCTGTAGAAGGCCAAACGTCATTGCTTTTGTACTCATATAAATTATTATACCAGTATTTACATTAATTCATTTGTTTTATGTTAGGTACAATTTAAACACGTACATGTTATGTAAACTAATTAATTGCATTGACAGATAGCGGTCTGCTTAACACTTGGTTAAGAGGTTGTTTACTGGATATATATCGAAGAAGGGATATCTGGATTAGAATTCTATTTCTTTGTTTTTTTTTATGTGAAAAGTTGTCCAAACGAGCAGACGGTTCACCTGATGTTAAGTGAATACCGCCGCCCGTGGACATCTGCTACACCCTAGGGTTCCAGATGCGTTGACCTTTTGAAAATTGGACTCCGGCCACCACACTCACCAGACGGAATGCGAAAGTATTGTACTTTACGCCGGTCTTCTGTGAGGTCGTGGTACTTACCCGGACGAGCCTGCCCATTCGTGCAACAGCCGAGGATGCCGCGTGGCCCTACCACCGTCAAACCGTTCTATGTAATAAGACATTGGCATCCGGTATTGTGATTCGAATTGGAATCGTTTCTGCGCTATAAATGTAAATCGATTAATTCACCTCAGTTATCAAAGAAATGGCCGCATTTTTAAACATTCAAACGGTGCCATCTAATGGCCCTGACATAAAATAAGAAGAGAATCGGCTAATTAATGCTAATTTTTATACCGGTTGCGACGGATGTGTCATCATTTGTATCACACATCGCACATGCTAATAATACTGTGATTCCTGATAATTCGAGAAAGTTCCGTTTCATAATAGTAATATTTTTTATTGAAAGAGACAACATTAACAATGTCATTTTACAATGGTGCTGCCTTTTTAAGCATTTTAAAGTCTTACCTCTTACAATTTACAAAGATAACCTATAATCCTAACAAGTGTGTATCAAAATAATAATGATTGTGATAAAAATTATTGAATTGTAAAATTTATAAAAAAAACTTTTTTGTAGTTAAATGAAGTTTTTATTTAATCTTTACTTAATTATTTAAATACTTTGCACTGTTCATATTTATAGACAGATGCGTTATACGGGAAGATTAAGATGAAGTCTCGTTTAGTATTGTGTATAGGAAATTATTATCTTACAAATATATTAAGGTATTAAATACATAACATAAAAAACTTCTTATATGATTTTTAAAGTCATAGAAGAGTAAGCAGATAACGTTCTGTATTTGAATACCACGTTAGAATAAAAAGTTGACATAGCCTGGAATATATTCTATCCATTTGACCTCTTTAAATATGCAGAATTATTGTTACAGATGATTCTAAATGCGCGAGAACCGATGGTCTGAATTTTATGAGACAATTTCGTGATAATACGTAAAAGTTATATATAAATCTCTATTTCAAATTATTATTTTGCTCCTCCAAATTATCTATATATTTGATTAAAGTAGTTTTTTATTATTTTATACATTGTTAATGTCCTCTCTTAAAAATCTTCACAGATAAATAGTAAAGAGTTGCGAGTGATATAAATAATAAATTACCTCAATCTTTTTGTTGAAAGTACCAGATTATACTGGTTAAGATATTAAAAGACAATTTAATGAAGTAATGCAAAAAATCAGTTCTACTGTCTTTTGTTTGAAATTTAACAACGTGTTAATCTTGAATTTTGAAATGGCTGTAATGTTATCTGTAGAAAAATCGTGTAATGCGTTCAAAAACTTTTCAAATATTATGATAATTTAAAAATACCTAAGTGTTCCGTGGCGGATTGCCAACGAAGACAAGACGCTTGACGGCGTTTTAATTAAAGGCCGGGCTTATATCACGGAAACATTTTTGACATTCGAATATTGAAAGAATCGTTAGAAATTTCAAAATCATTCCAAACGTCTGTCAATTCCTTCACTTATTCAAAGAAATTTCATCAAGGACGGTTTATTTATCCTGTGGTAGCTAAGGAGACACAAATAAAACGCAATTAAAATGCTTTTATGCTTATTCGGTAAACAATATTTACCGAATAAGCATAAAAAGTTCTCGTAATTTTTGATTTGATGAAAAATAATAATCTTAAATTGCTAAATTTTCGTTATATTTTTTAAAGTGGGTCAATTAAAGAATAGAAAAGCTGTAAGTCAAAGTTTCTCCAAAGCTGTCCCTTAGCTTAAGTCATCTAATTGGTTTATTTTCTATTCTTCTCTTTTTTGTACTAAATTCATTAATTATTGATGCATATATAGATATTTACTAATTTTACTTCCTCCCTGTAGATTTTGTTCTTCAAGGTATAATTTAATATTAAATTTGGTTATAATTTATGTGCATTTTTAATTGAAATTAAATTTTAATAAAA